GCTTGCGCTGGCTGCTGGAGGTGTGGGACAGCAGCGTGGCCTGCTGGTGGTTGGAGTCCACGGGGCTCGTGGCGATGATGTTATCCTTGTACTTGTTCATCAGGGACAGCTTGGCGTTATCGCTTCCTGGGCGGGAAGAAGTTAAGGAAAAGTCTTTAGAGGCAAAACCAGAGTCCAAGAAGGAGAGAGGAGATTTCCTGGGATCTATTTCTGACTCCAGCGCCTGGATGAAATGCCAAGGGCACCTCAGCCAACGGACCAGGCCGGCTACGGGTGCCTGGCCAGTGTCCCGAGCAGCAGGATTGCCTCCAACACACCATTACGAGCTCTTCAAAGCCCAGCAGGGACCAGCAGGTCTGCCAAAACCTAACTGAAAGCTGAGACTTCATTATTCACAACCACAGGGCACCTGGGGCTCTGGATCTTCCGCTCTCAAAGGAAACCCCGGAACAGCTTTAGGAATCCACATCATGGTCTCCCCAAAACTGTGTCTCCTTTAAGGGGCTCCACTTCCACAGCTCGCTTAGTAATATGGCCAACGAGCAAGCATGTTATGACTTGGGGTCTGGCTACAGCCAGGGCTCAGGTACACCTCAGAGAATCCTTGCTGGTGTTAAGAAAGCAGTGTTAACTCTGGATCATACTGATGACAACTGAAATTTTGCCACCGAATACTTCAGCTGAATCAGACCCCAGAACTCCAGGAACAGTGAAGGGAACTTACAGAGTCACCACGGTGGAGCTCGGAGAGGATATCTTCCCAATCTTCAACAGTCCTGCCTCTCAAGCCTCAACTCTGCGTTGCCCCAGCCATGGCCCACTCAAGAGGGACTACGGCCACCTCACCACAAGGAGGTTTCCAAGCAAAAGAAGTGACCTCAAAGGGTTGCAAACCATCTAACATCTCAGATGTAGGGGAAACCCAGAAATACAGCTGCACCAGGTCGCTCAGGTTGTAAACGCAACGATGCCTCACTTGCAGAGAGGACAGACAAGGTAGAAAGGACCCGGTTCAACCCACATCCTCCCCGTCCTTCCCTCACCTGGCGTGAGGTCCATGCTGGACTTCTCGTTGCAGCCCTGCAGCGAGTCCAAGGTGCGGGTGACCTGGCTGGCGAAGTCCTCGCCGCCGTTCATGCACTCCCGCTGCAGGTGGTGCCGCAGGTCGGTGATATCGTACTCGTAGCCGTCCAGGATGGGGGTCTCGCGGATGCTGAGCGTGCCGCTGGAGTTGTGGCCCTGCACGCGGGCGTTGCGCAGGCTCTCGCGCCCGTGGCCCCCGATGAGCACCGACGGGATGTAGTGGATTTCGTTGG